TGCTAACGAGATCTTGTTAGGGTTTGATTTTGGGACATTGCATCTAGATACTTAGATAACAACAAACATCACAGAAACCATGTCTTTTTTTTTTTCCCTAGGATCTGTTCCGGTCTACTATGAAGCCTGTCCAGAAAGTGTTGGAAGATTCTGATTTGAAGAAGTCTGATATTGATGAAATTGTTCTTGTTGGTGGCTCTACTCGAATTCCAAAGATTCAGCAACTGGTTAAAGAGTTCTTCAATGGCAAGGAACCATCCCGTGGCATAAACCCAGATGAGGCTGTTGCATATGGTGCTGCTGTCCAGGCTGGTGTGCTCTCTGGTGATCAAGATACAGGTAAGTCATCATTGCAACATCTTTCATAGTATTTCAGTAGCTTGATGGAAGATTAGTTAGCCGTTGCTTTAGAAAATACCAGAATAAGAGCAGCAAGGGCACATAGCTAGTAAAGGGTATAGTGAAGACAAGACTGATGCACTCTCAAGATCATTAGCAACTGTTTAATTCACTGCCTTTAAAATGTGTGGGTTAGAACCTAACCAAATGGTAAGACAAAGAGATAAATTTTATATAGCTTATGGGGAGAACTTGAATTAGAAGTAAATAATTTATCCTTACAGGTGACCTGGTACTGCTTGATGTATGTCCCCTTACACTTGGTATTGAAACTGTGGGAGGTGTCATGACCAAACTGATTCCAAGGAACACAGTGGTGCCCACCAAGAAGTCTCAGATCTTTTCTACAGCTTCTGATAATCAACCCACTGTTACAATCAAGGTCTATGAAGGTAATTACTTAAATTTGCTCATATCATGGCTTTTTTCTTCTTTTTTTGAGACAGAGTCATGCTGTTGCCCATGCTGGAGTGCAATGGCGCGGTCTTAGCCCACTGCAATCTCCGCTTCCCAGGTTTAAGCAATTCTCCTGCCTCATCCTCCGGAGTAGCTGAGATTACAGCCGTGTACCACCACGCCCGGCTAATTTCTGTATTTTTAGCAGAGATGGAGTCTCACCATGTTGGTCAGGCTGGTCTCAAATTCTTGACCTCAGGAGAAATGCCTGCCTCAGCCTCCCAAAGTACTGGGATTACAGGCATAAGCCACCATGCCCGGTCTATCATGGCTTGCTTATTTATTTATTTATATATTTTTTGAGATGGAGTCTCGCTCTGTAGCCCAGGCTGGAGTGCAACGGTGTGATTTTGGCTCACTGCAACCTCCACCTCCCAGTTTCAGATTCTCCTGCCTCAACTGCTGGGATTACAGGCACAAGCCATCATGCCCAGCTAATTTTTGCATTTTTTTTTTTTTTTTTTTAGTAGAGACAGGGTTTCAACATGTTGACCAGTTTGGTCTTGAACTCCTGACCTCGTGATCCACCCACCTTGGCTTCCCAAAGTGTTGTCATTACAGGCGTGAGCCACCGTGCCTGGCCTCTTGTGGCATATTTTGAAAGAATATGACTTAATATGTTTTATTGAAGTGGCTAGGGACCTAAGTAACTGCTCTTTTCAAATGGGGGTCTTAATTTGAATAATGTTGTTTTATATCTAGATACTTAGCTTTTTTTTTGAGATGGAGTCTTGCTCTGTCACCCAGGCTGGGGTGCAGTGGCGTGACCTATAATCTCCGCCTCCCAAGCAGTTACCCTGCCTTAGCACCCCTCTCCCAAGTAACTGGGATTTACAGGTGCCTGCCACCACACCCGGCTAATTTTTCTATTAGTAGAGGTGGGATTTTTCCATGTTGGCCAGGCTGGTCTTGAATTCCTGACTTCAGGTGATCCACCCACCTCAGCCTTCCAAAGTGCTGGGTTTATTACAGGTGCGAGCCACTGTACCCGGCCAGTATTTAGCATTCTTATTAATAATAACTTCTGAGCTGCTCCTTGAGTACAAGAAAAAGGAGTTCACAGCACTTTAAAAAAGATAAAATTCAGTTGAGTTAATAGGTAGTAACCTAACTCATTGTTAGTACCTGTTGCTGCTCCTTGTAGACCAATATGAAATTGTTTTCAAACCAAAAGTGTTACTTTTGGCCTTTCACTTTATGCTTCAGACTGAAATGTGGGGATCTAGATGTGCTAATGTTTGTCAATAACAACTAACAAGTTTTTCTGTATGTAACTTCTAGGTGAAAGACCCCTGACAAAAGACAATCATCTTCTGGGTACATTTGATCTGACTGGAATTCCTCCTGCTCCTCGTGGGGTCCCACAGATTGAAGTCACCTTTGAGATAGATGTGAATGGTATTCTTCGAGTGACAGCTGAAGACAAGGGTACAGGGAACAAAAATAAGATCACAATTACCAATGATCAGAATCGCCTGACACCTGAAGAAATCGAAAGGATGGTTAATGATGCTGAGAAGTTTGCCGAGGAAGATAAAAAGCTCAAGGAGCGCATTGATACTCGAAATGAGTTGGAAAGTTATGCCTATTCTCTAAAGAATCAGATTGGAGATAAAGAAAAGCTAGGAGGTAAACTTTCCTCTGAAGATAAAGAGACCATGGAAAAAGCTGTAGAAGAAAAGATTGAATGGCTGGAAAGCCACCAAGATGCTGACATTGAAGACTTCAAAGCTAAGAAGAAGGAACTGGAAGAAGTTGTTCAGCCAATTATCAGCAAACTCTATGGCAGTGCAGGCCCTCCTCCAACTGGTGAAGAGGATACAGCAGAAAAGGATGAGTTGTAGACAGTGATCTGCTAGTGCTGTAATATTGTAAATACTGGACTCAGGAACTTTTGCTAGGAAAACATTGAGAGAACTTAAGTCTCGAATGTAATTGGAATCTTCACCTCAGAGTGGAGTTGAAAATGCTATAGCCCAAGTGGCTGTTTACTGCTTTTCATTAGCAGTTGCTCACATGTCTGGGGGGGGCGGGGGAGAAGAATTGGCCATCTTAAAAAGTGGGTAAAAAAACCTGGGTTAGGGTGTGTGTTCACCTTCAAAATGTTCTATTTAACAATTGGGTCACGTGCATCTGGTGTAGGAAGTTTTTTCTACCATAAGTGACACCAATAAATGTTTGTTATTTACACTGGTCTAATGTTTGTGAAAAGCTGCTAATTAGATCAATTATTTAGGAAATATAAGGCCAGATTCTTGTGCGTGGGGTGAGGGGAAGGGAGTGTTTGGTATGTTGGGATATGGAGACACTTCTATTTAATGCTTCCAGGGAATTTGCTTTTGTCCCCTCTCTCCTGGGCTCAAGTGATCTTCCACCTCAGTCTCCCAGCTAATCACCACCATGCTCAGCTTTTGCCTTAATCTAAGGGGAGAGAAGTTAATCCATACCTCTACCTAAGTGAGGGGCATTTCAGTGCCCAGGAGTGGGGTTTTCTTGAACATATCTTGGTTTCCTATTTCCCCTTATCTTTCTAGAACTGCCTTCTGGTGTTTTTTAATTATGCTTCATAGCTGCTTGGATTCTCTATGAGAATTGACAGGGAGTGAGTGATCACTGGTATTAACTTTATTTTTTGAGACGGAGGTGCTGACACCAGGTTGGAGTGCATGATCTTGACTCACTGCAACCTCCACCTCCTGGGTTCAAATGATTCCCCTGCCTCAGCCTCTTGAGTAGGTGGGACCACAGGTGCCTGCCACTATGCCCAGCTAATTTTTTGTATTTTATTTTAATTTTATTTTTTTTGAGACGAAGTTTCGCTGTTGTTACCCAGACTGGAGTGCAATGGCACGATCTCGGCTCACCGCAACCTCCACCTTCTGGGTTCAAGCAATTCTCCTGCCTCAGCCTCCCGAGTAGCTGGGACTACAGGCGCGCACCACCATGCCCAGCTAATTTTTGTATTTTTAGTAGAGACAGGGTTTCACCCTGTTGACCAGGATGGTCTCGATCTCAACCTCGTGATCCACCCGCCTCGGCCTCCCAAAGTGCTGGGATCATAGGCGTGAGCCACCGCGTGCCCAGCCCAATTTTTTGTATTTTAATAGAGACAGGGTTTCACCATGTTGTCCAGGATGGTCTTGATCTCCTGATTTTGTGATCTGCCCTCCTTGGCCTCTCAAAGTGCTGGGATTACTGGCGTGAGCCACTGTACCCAACCACTGGTATTAACTTTACATACTCGGATTTAATTTGTAACTTTAGGATGTAAAGGTATATTGTGAATCCTAGCTGCGTCAGAATCTCCATGCCTGAAATTTCTCATTAGTGGTACTGGGGTGGGATCTAGGATGGTGACATTGAAACTACGCTAAATCCCCTCACTATGGGTGGGTTAAAGGCAGTGGTTTGTGTCAAAACCGGTTTAAGATTACTTAGATTGCCTTCTTGAAGAAAACAATGGTCCAGTTAAATAGTATGATCAGTAAAGGGCAGGCTGGTGCTAACATGAAATCCAGGATTGTGGCCAGGTCTGGTTACTCACACCTGAAATCCCAGCAGCGCAATAGTGCAATTTTGGCTCACTGCAACCTCCACCTCCCAGGTTCAAGCAATTCTCCTGCCTCATCCTCTGGAGTAGTTGGGACTACAGGTGTGTGTCACCATGCCTGGCTAACTTTTTGTATTTTTAGTAGAGATAGGTTTCACCGTGTTATCCAGGATGGTCTCAATCTCCTGACCTCACGATCTGCCCACCTCAGCCTCCTAAAGTGCTGGGATTACAGGTGTGAGCCACCATGCCCAGCCAATTCTGCAACTTTAACTTTCTGCAACCTATTGCAACCTTCTTGTGATTAGCATTCAGTACACTAATCCCACCTCCTAGGTTTGCATTGCTGGTAAAGACTTTTATATTAATATATTGGAGGTTTTTGCATTGAGCAATACTTAACTACTGCAGTTTGCAAACCAGTTACTGAAAGTCATTCCCAAGAGCTCTGAGAGGCAATATAGCAAGGTGTAGTGCAAATGAATTATTTGTATCAATTTCTTCACCTACCAACATAGGAGAAAAACATATAGTGCATAAGATATTTTGGAGGCATGAAACAGCTAAGGTTTTACTCAAAGATTCTGAAAGTAACTGACAGGTAATAAAAACGTGGGTTTTATTAGTCAACTGCAGTCACAATACAATCATCATAAATTTCCCCTTCTGTATTCATCCCACCAAACACAAAACACAGCAGTGTATCAGCCCGGCTTTCCTCATGTGAGTCACCACTGTGGGTCATTACTGTGTCAGCTGAATCCACTTTCTCAGCTTCATGGTTCAGACTGAGAGAATTGGAATCTTCTTTCTCAGACGCACATGTCACTGGCCATGGAATGATACACATGGAGTGGTCCAATCGTCCAGGGGGTAGAAAAGTGTCAAACTTAAGCAAAGTCCAATGCTGCTTTTCTATGTTGGGGAGGGAAAAGGCTTCGTGTTAAGAAATTTCCAGGTAGTGAAAGCCAAAATCTGAATACAATTTTTTTTTTTTTTGAGAGAGTTTCACTGTTGTTACCCAGACTGGAGTGCAATGGCACAATCTCGTCTCATTGCAACTTCCGCCTTCTGGGTTCAAGCAATTCTCCTGCCTCGGCCTCCTGAGTAGCTGGGACTACAGGTGCGCACCACCATGCCCAGCTAATTTTTGTATTTTTAGTAGAGACGGGGTTTCACCTTGTTGACCAGGATGGTCCCTATCTCTTGACCTCATGATCCACCCACCTCCACCTCCCAAAGTGCTGGGATTATAGGCATGAGCCACCGCTCCTGGCCTCAATTTTAAAAGTAAAGAAGTTTCCAGAAATGCTTAGTGATTTTTTTTTTTTTTGAGAGGAGTTTCACTCTTGTTGCCCAGGCTGTAGTGCAATGGCACCATCTCCACTCACCGCCACCTCCGCCTCCCAGATTCAAGCCATTCTCCTGCCTCAGCCTCCCAAGGAACTAGGATTACAGGCACCCGCCACCACGCCCAGCAAGTTTTGTATTTTTTTTTTTGGTAGAGATGGGGTTTCACCATATTGGCCAGGCTGGTCTCGAACTCCTGACCTCATGATCCACCCACCTCGATCTCCCAAAGTACTAGGATTACAGACATGAGCCACTGTGCCCGGCCTAATGCTCAGTGATTTACTGTATCAGCTGAGCCCTAACAGAAAATAAAAGTAAAAAAACCTCATGGCAGCATTGCTGCTTTAATGACCTCATCCCGACAGTTTTCATTTTTTTGGATTTAGACACAGAGGAACCAAATTGGAAAACCGAAGCACTGCATCACCTTTCAAAGGATGTTTAGATTTGTTTAAAGATTCCCAGGGACACCTGCTCACCTGTGTGATACTGGTACATTGTGTCCAGTGCTCCTGCAGGAGTCATTCCACCAAAGATGTACAAGTGTTTTCCCACAGCCACAGCTGAGTGGGCAGCACAGCCTGCTGGAGTAGCCCCAGTGGGACTTAGCTTCTGCCATTTCATGTCACCTGCCAGGAAAAAGAAAAGGCTTTGGCACAACATGAGCTAAGATGTGCTTTCAAACTTACCTATCGACTGCAGTTTGCACACCAGTCACTGAAAGTCATTCACCAAGAGCACTGAGAGGTTTAGTGCACATAAGAATTATTTGGGGAATTCTGACATCATGATTGGGTAGTCCAGGGAGGAAGGGAGGGAGGAGCTCAGTGATTCCCAGAATCCCAGGTGATTCTGATGTAGGCGGTCTTTGGGTCCCACAGAAATGTGATACAATCTTTATAATAACCTTCAACTATTCACTCGAATGCCTCGAATCAGTTCAGTTTCTCTCTCTCTCTCTCTCTCTCTCTCTCTCTCTCTCTCTCTCTCTCTCTCTGTGTTTTAAATACAGTTCCTTAGCAAATTGTAAATGCAGGCTAAACAAATTTTGCTCACTAAATTCTCATAGGAGCCCCACAAAATTGCTATTACTTCTGCCTATCCCTTGCTTCTTACAAATAAGCAAACAAGAATTTGTAATTGGTAGAGCTAGGCTGCACTCAGGTCTGGCTCCAAAGCCTGTGTTTTCTACACTGTCACATGCTGCCTAAGCACCTCCTTCCAACCTATTTATGTAGGAAAACTTCCATCTTTTCAAACAAGCATTTTTTTTCTTTTGAGACTGAGTCTCACTTTGTCACCCAGGCTGGAGTGCAGTGATGAGCTCTCTGTTCACTGCAACCTCCGCCTCCAGGATTCAAGTGATTCTCCTGCCTCAGCTTCCCAAGTAGCTTGGATTACAAGCATGTGCCACCACGCCCAGCTAATTTTTGTATTTTTAATAGAGATGGGGTTTCATCATGTTGGCCAGGCTGGTCTCCAACTCCTGACTTCAGGTGATCCACCCGCCTCGGCCTCCCAAAGTGCTAGGATTACAGGCACGAGCCACCATGCCCAGCTGAATTTTTTTTTGGGAAACAGAGGCTTACAGTCATGACCCACTGTACCCAGCCCAAACAAGCATTTAAATAAGGCAAGCTATCACTGGATTTTACATTTAGAGAACTACTTGGGTAGGCAGGAAAAATAGTCAACAAGTAGTTCCTAACAACAGAAAAAGATTTTCTTTTTAAAAATAAGCATGAAAACCCCATCTGACTGCCTGCAAGGAATGGTTTTTCCATCTGTCAATGCAAGGCAGAGGCCCTGCATCTCAGAGTAGGAAGGGAGAATCAAGGGGTATGGCCAAAATTCTAGCCAATGCAGGAATCACAAAGCCAGTGTCCCCTGGCCTCAGATGTCATGGAGCTTGGCAAGGTTGCCCAATACACTACACAGGACTTCCCATGTTCCCTTCTCCCCACTGTTCCAGTTCTTGTAGTCTGGAGCAATGCAAAACATGTTCGTTCATTCATCCATCCACTCAATAATAGATATGGGCCGGGCACAGTGGCTCATGCCTGGAATCCCAGCACTTTGGGAGGCCAAGGTGGGCAGATCCCTTGAGTCCAGGAGTTGGGAGACCAGCCTGGGCAACATGGTGAAACCCTGTCTCTACAGAAAACATAAAAATTATCTGGGCATGGTGGCACGTGTCTGTTGTCCCAGCTACTCAGGAGGCTGAGGCAGAAGAATCACTTGACCTGAGAGGAAGAGGTTGCCGTGAGCTAAGATCACATCATTGCATTCACTGGGCGACCAAGTGAGACACCATCTGAAAAAAAAGTACTTGGCCGGGCGCGGTGGCTCACGCCTATAATCCCAGCACTTTGGGAGGCTGAGGCGGGTGGATCACAAGGTCAAGAGATGGAGACCATCCTGGTCAACAAGGTGAAACCCCGTCTCTACTAAAAATACAAAAATTAGCTGGGCATGGTGGTGCGCGCCTGTAATCCCAGCTACTCGGGAGGGTGAGGCAGGAGAATTGCTCGAACCCAGAAGGCGGAGGTTGTGGTGAGCCGAGATTGTGCCATTGCACTCCAGTCTGGGTAACAACAGCGAAACTCCGACTCAAAAAAAAAAAAAAAAGTACTTGTCACCCACTATCTGCCAGACACTGTGCTAAGTGCTAGAAATGTACCGGAGAAAAAAATAGACAAGTTCCCTGCCATCGTGGATCTCACAGCTTGACGGAATGGCCCAGAATGAGTCCAGCGTCTCCATGGCCTATAAGCCCTTCAGATACTTAAAGATATTTCTCATGTTCTCTTTAACTCTTCCCACTGTTTTCAACCATTTAGCATGACAAACATAAAATTCTGGTCATCTACCTTCATGTTATCCAAGCCCTACATGGGTTAATGGCTAACAGGTGAAAGAAATCCAATAGGCCAACACAGAGCATAGTGGGTTGTAATGAAAGGACAGTACTGTTGGAAGGATGAGAGACAATAAATGGCTGGGTCCATAATAAGCACTCAGGAGATTATTTAGTGCTATGGTTATTTATTTATTTATTTTTTTTTTGGAGACAGAGTTTCGCTCTTGTTACCCAGGCTGGAGTGCAATGGCGCAATCTCGGCTCACCGCAACCTCTGCCTCCTCGGTTCAGGCAATTCTCCTGCCTCAGCCTCCTGAGTAGCTGGGATTACAGGCACACGCCACTATGCCCAGCTAAGTTTTTGTATTTTTAGTAGAGACAGGGTTTCACCATGTTGACCAGGATGGTCTTGATCTCTTGACCTTCTGATTCACCTGCCTCGGCCTCCCAAAGTGCTGGGATTACAGGCTTGAGCCACTGCGCCCGGCCTATGGTTTTTTATTATTAATATTCTGTCCAGAGGTGACAGAATCTGATGAAGATTCTGCCAGCTGGTCAAGTTACTTACCCATAAGAGCAAGGCTATATTTTCTTTTTCTTTTCTTTTCTTGTTTCTTTTTTTTTTTTTTCCCTAAGACAGAGTCTCATTCTGTCACCCCAGGCTGGAGTGAAGGAGTGTGATCGTGACTCATGGCAACCTCTGCCTCCCGGGTTCAAGTGATTCTCCTGCCTCAGCCTCCCAAGTAGCTAGGACTACAGGTACCCGCCAAGCCTGGCTAATTTTTCTATTTTTAGCAGAGATGGGATCTCACCATGTTGGGCAGGCTGGTCTCAAACTCCTGACCTCAGATGATCTGCCTACCTCGGCCTCCCGAAGTTCTGGGATTACAGGTGTGAGGCACTGTGCCCAGTTTTTTTTTTTTTTTTTTGAGATAGAGTCTGGAGTGCAGTGGCATGGTCTCGGTTCACCACAACCTCCAACTCCTGGGTTTAAGTGAGTCTCCTGCCTCAGGTGCCCAAGTAGCTTGGATTACAGGCATGTGTGCTATGACACCAGGCTAATTTTTGTATTTTTAGGAGACATGGGGTTTTACCATGTTAGCCAGACTGGTCTCAAACTCCTGACCTCAGGTGATCTACCTGCCTTGGCAAAAATCTACTCCAACATGGCAAAACTCTCTACTAAAAATACACAGAAAAAAATTAGCTGGGCATGGTGGCCTCCCAAGGTCCAGGCATGAGCCATTGCGCCTGGCCGAGCAAGGCTATATTATTTCAAAGTACATTTTTAAAAATCACTTGAGCACAGAAGTTTGAGAACAGCCTGGGCAACGTGGTGAGACCTTGTCTCTACCAAAATAAAATTTTATATTAGCCGAGCATGGTGGCACGAACCTGTAGCTCCAGCTACAGGGGAGGATGAGGTAGCAGGATCACTTGAGCCCAGGAGGCCGAGGCTACTGAGATCATGCCACTGCACTCCAGCCTGAGTGACAGAGATAGATCCTGTCTAAAAAAAAAATAAAAATAACAATTTTAAATGACAAGCCCCCATGCCCTGCTTACTTATATCAATGCAGTGGAAATCATCATAGAATTTGTCCCCTGCCAAGCCTCCATGGATGAAGAGCTTTGTTCCTGCTGCCACCATCACATGACCGTGCCGGGGGGATGGAGGATTTCCAAGTGTCTCTGGCTGTGACCAGGTCAGAGTGCCTAGAAAAGTAAATTCAATAACATCAAAAGGCAAAGCTATTAAACAAAAACACAAGAAATAGACTCTGTATCATCTCCCAGCAAGTAGAGATGTCCCATGCAGGAAGCAACCTTGGGGTCATTTACTCCAACTCCCCAACCCAATCCTGGCATCCCTCATTTTACATCCTATAGTCTGGGTGTGGTGGCTCACACTTGTAATCCCAGCATTTTGGGAGGCAGAGGCAAGTGAATTAACTGAGGTCAGGAGTTCAAGACCAGCCTAGCCAACATGGCAAAACGCTATCTCTACTAAAAATACACAGAAAAAAATTAGTTGGCCATGGTGGCAGGTGCCTAGTAACTCCAGCTACTTGGGAGGCTGAGGCAGGAGAATCACTTGAACCTGGGAGGTGGAGGTTACAGTGAGCCAAGATTGTACCACTGCACTCTCCAGCCTTGGCAACAGAGCGAGACTCTGTCTCAAAAAAAAAAAACCAAAATCAGCCTGGCATGGTGGCATGCATCTAAAGCATGGAAAGGAAAGGCTAAAGAAGAATCTTTTAGTTTTGTCTGTTTTTTATCTTCCTTGTTCTTTCTTTTACTTTTTTACTTTATAAACTGTAAGGTTTAAACTTTTTAATTTGATCATTATACCTTTTTATTTATTTATTTTTGAGATGGAGCCTTGCTCTGTTGCCCAGGCTGGAGTGCAATGGTGCCATCTCGGTTCACTGCAACCTCTGCCTCCTGGGTTCAAGCGATTCTCCTGCCTCAACCTCCCGAGTAGCTGGGATTACAGGCATCCACCACCACACCTAGCTAATTTTTGTATTTTTGGTAGAGACATGGTTTCACCATTTTGGCCAGTCTGGTTTCGAACTCCTGACCTCAGGTGATCTGCCCACCTTGGCCTCCCAAAGTACTGGGATTATAGGCATGGCCTACCTTTAAAAAAATTAATTAATTAACTAATTAATTGAGAGGGAGTCTCACTCTGTCACCCAGGCTGAGTGCAGTGGCCCAATCTCAGCTCACTGAAACCTCCTCTTCCCAGGTTCAAGCAATTCTCCTGCCTCAGCCTCCTGAGCAACTAAGATTACAAGGCATGTGCCACCATTCCTGGCTAATTTTTGTAGTTTTAGCAGAGACAAAGTATGTTGGCCAGGCTGTTCTCGAACTCCTAACCTCAAGTGATTGACCTGCCTCAGCCTCCCAAAGCGCTGGGATTACAGGTGTGAGCCACCATGCCAGGCCTCATTATACCTTTTTAAATGCCAGTTTTGCTGTGGGAAAAAGATCTCAGCTAAGAGATAAAACAAATAAGTGTAGAAGTGAGACACTCAGCCAGCCTTTCCTTTTCTAACTTATGCTTCCTACGTTAGGTAATTTGCAGGCTGGGATGGCCCTGACCAGTAAGTGGCAGCCCCGAGGTGCCCACCAGTCCATACTTGCGTCAAACACATGCAGCTTCACATCCTGCACGGGCTGGGCACCTCTCTCTCCGCCCCCAAAGACATACAGCTGGTTTCCAATGGCTGCTGATGATGTGTGGAATGTTCTTGGGGATGGTGGGGGGCTGGTCACTTCTGGCATGGTCCATGTCCTGGTTTCTGGGCCAAAGACAATGCAGGCACCTAAAACACCCAGGCTGAGGGGCTTCTGACCTTGACTCTGGGGCTGAGCAGAGTCAGTTTCCAGATCTCATACTCACAAACATCAAGGAAGAATGCAGATGGTACTTAGGATTTGCCAAGACAGTCTAAAATCCCCAAGCTCTAAAAGCTGTAAGTATGAGCCATAAGAATGAGGTCAGGCTGGGTGCAGTGGGTCATGCCTATAATCCCAGCACTTTGGGAGGCCAAGGCAGGCGGATCACTTGAGGTCAGGAGTTTGAGAACAGCCTGGCCAACATGGGGTGAAACCCCGTCTCTACTAAAGATATAAAAAATTAGGCCGGACATAGTGGTTCAACACTTGTAATCCCAGCACTTCGAGAGGCCAAGCCAGACAGATCACGAGGTCAAGAGATAGAGGCCATCCTGGCCAATATGGTGAAACCCCATCTCTACTAGAAATACAAAAATTAGCTGGGCATGGTGGTACATGCCTGTAATCCCAGCTACTTGGGAGGATGAGGCAGGAGAATTGCTTGAACCCGGAAGATGGAGGTTGCAGTGAGCTGAGATCGCACCACTGCACTCCAGTCTGGGCAACAGAGAGAGACTCCATCTCAAAAATAATAATAATAATAATAATAATAATAATAATAAAAATAAAATACACTTAAAAAAATTAGGCTGAGCACAGTAGCTGTAAGGCCTGTAATCCTAGCACTTTGGGAAGCCAAGGCAGGAGGACTGCTTGAGTACCAGAGTTTGAGGCTTCAATGAGCTATGATTGTGCCATTGCACTCTAACCTGGGTAAAAGAGTAAGAACATATCTCAAAAAAGAAAGAAATGAAAAAAAGGAGACAATACTATTACATTTCAGTAGGAGTAATAATAGTCCCTAATAAACAGTAAATGCTAAATAAATATTAATTTCCCCATTTTACAGATAAGAGAACTGAAGCAGGGATGGATTAAGTCACTTTTTTAAAGTGACATAGCTAGCCAGGCTCGGTGGCTCATGCCTATAATTCCAACACTTTTGGAGGTTGGAGTGAGTGGATTGCTTGAGCCTAGGAGTTTGAGACCAGCCTGGACAACATGGAAAAACCCTGTCTCTACAAAAAAATTAGCCAGGCATAGTGGTAACTGCCTAAATTCTCAGTTACCTGAGAGGATGAGGTGGAAGGATCACCTGAGCCTGCAGCAGTTGAGGCCACAGTGAGCCATGATCACACCACTGCAACTCCAGCCTGGGTGACAGAGTAAGACAAGAGAGAAGGCGGGGAGGGAGAGAGAGAGAATGAGAGAGAGAGAGAGAGAGAGAGAGAGAGAGAGAGAGAGAGAGAGAGAGAGAGAAAGAAGGAAAGAAAGAAAGAAAGAAAGAAAGAAAGAAAGAAAGAAAGAAAGAAAGAAAATCACCCTCTTTGACAGAAGCTTTCCAAATTCTCACTGTATTTCATTTCAATGGATATCGTTGTTGAAAATCAAAAGCCCAGGGTTCCAGAATTGATTTCCCTTTGCCAAACCTTAACTACATCAACCACCACAACAGTGATTGAGCATGAATTATGTGCCAGATACTGAGTTAATTTAAATCCTTGACAAATTAACAAGGTAGAAACTATTATTATCCAATGTGACAGAAAACAGAGGCAGAGAGAGGTTAAACCACTTGCCCAAAGTCATGGTCAGTGCACAACAAAGCACAGACCCTCATCCGTGCCCTTAACCATCATAGTATACTGCTACTCTTCAAGCAAATTGGCTTCACAATTAGCCAAACAGTCTGCCAAGTGTCTATTTCTGACAGTGTTCTGTACCGAGTATTCAACAATAAACAAACCCTTCCCTTCAAAGCACTTATGTTCCATAGAGGAAGGGCAGGGAGGAGGAGGGAAGAAAGGAAATAAATACCCAAACAAATAAATCAAATTAAAAGAAGCTGGGCGAGGTGGCTCATGCCTGTAATCCCAGCACTTTGGGAGTCTGAGGCGGCTGAATCACCTGAGGACGGGAGTTGGAGACTAGCCTGACCAACATGGAGAAACCCCGTCTCTGCTAAAAATACAAAATAACCTGGGTGTGGTGGCGCATGCCTGTAATCCCAGCTATTCGGGAGGCTGAGGCAAGAGAATCCCTTGAACCCAGGAGGTGGAGGTTACGGTGAGCCAAGATGGCGCCATTGCACTCCAGCCTGGGCAACAAGAGCAAAACTCCATCATCTCAAAAAAGAAAAAAAAAAAAAAAAGTAACATACTGTCTAAATGTGCTGAAGGAATTTAACTACTTGACACATAAGAAAACTTGGTCCTAGCTCCTGAACTCTGACCAACTATTGTACAAATATATTGTTTATTTTTATTATTTTTAACTTTTTTATTGGGCAATCCTCAACAAACGTATTCGGTGGGCAACACCCCAAATATATTGTTGAGAGAGGGAACTGAGCCGGAGTTGGCTGACACATGAAAAATGTCCAGGTCAAAAAATGCTTTTTTTGAGAGGGAATCTCACCAGTTGCTCAGGCCGTGGCATGATCTCGGCTCACTGCAACCTCTGCCTCCTGGGTTGAAGCGATCCTCCTGCCTTGCCCTCCCCAGTAGCTGGGACTACAGGCATGTGCCACAATGCCTAATTTTTGTATTTTTAGTAGTGACAGGGTTTCACCATGTTGGCCAGGCTGGTCTTGAACTCCTGACCTCAGGTGATCCACCCACCTCAGCCTCCCAAAGTGCTGGGATTACAGGTGTGAGCCACCACACTGGCCCAAAGTGCATATTTAAATAACTCCGTACAAGTTTTTTTGCCTATCAAATTAGCAATGTTTAAAACTGATAAATTCAGTGCTGGTTAGTAATGAGAGAAGCACTGTTAAACAGGTGGAGAGAGAATAAACTGGAAAAATCTTTCTGAAGAGCAATTTGGTAGTATGTATCAAAACCTTGAAAAGGTTCACAGTATTTTACCTAGTCTTTTTATTTCTTGGCAAGAACCCTAAGAAAATAATTTGAAATACAGCCAATCACTTCTGAATGAAGATGTTCACTGCTTTGTTAATTATAGTGTAAAAACCTGAAAAGAACTAAATGTTTGGCCGGGCGCGGTGGCTCACGCCTGTAATCCCAACACTTTGGGAGGCCGAGGCGGGTAGATCACGAGGTCAAGAGATCGAGACCATCCTGGTCAACATGTTGAAACCCCGGCTCTACTCAAAATACAAAAATTAGCTGGGCATGGCGGCGCGTGCCTGTAATCCCAGCTACTCAGGAGGCTGAGGCAGTAGAATTGCCTGAACCCAGGAGGTGGGAGGTTGCAGTGAGCCGAGATCGCGCCATTGCACTCCAGCCTGGGTAACAAGAGCAAAACTCTGTCTCAAAAAAAAAAGAACTAAATGTTCATTAATGGAGGAATTATGGTATTAATGGAGTATTATATTTAATGGGGTATTATATAGCCATTAAAAATAATGTTAGCCAGGCACAGTGACTCATGTCTGTCATCCCAACACTTTGGGAGGCCGAGGGGGGCAAATTGCTTGAGCCCAGGAGTTTGAGATCAGCTTGGGCAACATGGAAAAACCCTGTCTCTACAAAAAATAAAAAAAAAATTAGCTAGGCATGGTGGCAACCGCTTGTAGTCCCAGGTCTTGGGAGACTAAGGTAGGAGGATCATCTGAGCCTGGGTGGTCGAGGCTGCAGTGAGCTGTGATGACACCACTGCATTCCAGCCTGGGCAACAGAGTGAGACCCTGCCTCAAAAAAAAAAAAAGTTAAGCACAACAAAAAAACCCAAAACAAAACAAACAAACGATATGATATTAACAAAGCATTGTTATTAATAACAAATCAATTATTTTTGTTAAAGCCCTCCAAAAAACTATTTCTGTGGGGATTAGGAAATTAAAAAGAAAAAGTGTTACTAATGTGTAAATATAGTATGATCTTAGGCTTGTAAAAACAGAAAAAAGACAGAAAGGAAGAAGATAGAAAGTTGTCAATAGCCTTAATATAATAGGACTGTGGATGACTTTTGTCCACTCACTTGTGCTTTTCATTTTACAATGAACATAAATGATATTTGCAAAGAGAAAAACAGAAACAAACAAAACAAAAGGCAAAAGACAAGTCCACCTCCCACAGGCAGTTTCAACCTCTTCTCCGTCGTGATGTTCCTAAACTGTTTCCTCTATGATAAAACTGCCAGTGATGGAAACATGAAGATATGAAAAACAAAGACAAAGAAAACTAACAAACAAAAAATCTTGCCCGTGAGACAAGTCAGGAACTTTGTACTTTTGGCTAAAAGAAACATACTAGGAGGATCCAGGTCAGTGTTTCTTTGGCACTACTGACATTTTAGACCAAGTAATTCTTTCCTGTAGTGGCTGTCCTGGGCACTAGATGTACAGCACATCTGGCCTCTATCCCCAGAAGCCAGTAGCCTAACGCTGCCCCCAGCTGTGATAACCCAAAATGTTTCCAGATATGGCCAAATGTCCCCCAGGGGGCACAATCGCCCTTATTGGAGAACCACTGATTTAGATGACTTGGGTTCTAAGCCTGGCTCAGTCACTGACTCCCCTGTGACTTTCTTTCTTTTTTTTTTGAGACAGAGTCTTGCTCTGCTGCCAGGCGCCAGGCTGGAGTGCAGTGGCACAATCTCGGCTCACTGCAATCTCCGCCTCCCAGCTTCAAGCAATTCTCCTGCCTCAGCCTCTCGAGTAGCTGGGACTACAGGCACACGCCACCACGCCCAACTAATTTTTGTATTTTTAGTAGAGACGGGGTTTCACCATGTTGGCTGGGATGGTCGCGATCTCTTGATCTGGTGATCCACCCACCTCAGCCTCCCAAAGCGCTGGGACTACAGAATTGAGCCACCGTGCCCGGCCCTGTCTTTTTTTTTTTTTTAAAGTCTCACTTTGTCACCCAGGCTGGAGTGCAGTGGCACGATCTTGGCTCACTGCAACCTCCGTGTCCCGGGTTCAAGTGATTCTCCTGCCTCAGCCTCCCGAGTAGCTGGGCTTACAGGCACCCGCCACCACACCCAGCTTATTTTTAGTAGAGGTGGAGTTTTACTGTATTGGCCAGGCAGATCTTGAACTCCTGACCTCAACTGATCCCACTGCCTCAGCCTCCCAAAATGCTGGGATTACAGGTATCAGCCACCATGCCCAGCCACTTGTTACTTTAGGAAAGTCACTTTCCCCTTGATAAACCTGAGTTGCCTACTTGGCATAGCTGTTCTCTGAAGTCCCTGCCAGCTTTGACATTTAACAAGTTGAAAATTTTATGTGTTACCAAAAAATTTTTTTATTCTGTTGTTTTCAGATTATGCTACAAGTTAAAATTCCTATTTTCTATAATGTCAGCAAAGTTAAATGGTAATCAGTATAATCCAAATGTATTGGAATTATAATTGGATTTATATATATATACATGAATGTTTATTTGTATGTATGTAAATAAAATAACTTTTGGCTACTTACCAGGATTCAGGACTTGTAGACAATTTCGATTTCCTGATTGGTTGGCACCTCCAAATACCCAGATACTGTCAGGTGTGCAGGAGGGAATGAAGCTAGCATGTTCATACCGGGGCAAGAGGCCCTTGCAGGTAACTAAGTCCCACTGGTGTTTTCCTGAAAAACATTTCACCCAGATCCTAGATTGGGGCTGTCAACGGTCACATTGGTTGGCACACTTGGGGAGGGTCATGAGAAGAGGGCCATAAGCATAAATGAAAACCACTGAATTGCTTAAAGGGCATGTTGTCAACCTCCAGAAAGTCCTATAGTAGATACTTAACGGGACTGTCTGCCTAGTCCACAGACCCTGTTCTATGGAAACTGTCCCCACTTTCTCAATCACAAGGGTAGATCCTAGGTCACATGTTTGTACTACACTTTGACTTTGTAGCTTTAGCTGATTGGGTTGAAGGTAACCACTGAAACCAGAATGGGCTAATCAGATCAACTGCTTCCACTTTCTCATGATCCTGAGCTGTACTTCCTGACCTTGAATTATTTGAAACACACCTGTATCTGAATAAATAAATCCCTCCTTTTGCCTCTGGTTTAAGTGGAATTCTGTTACTTGCAAATAAATGTTGACTGGCTAAAACTAGTTCACAGAAATACTCAACCTTCATTATTAATACTTATTTTAGTTGGTTAACCAATTACATAGGACATTCATAGGCATTATCTTGTTAGATCTGAAACAAGTTATTATCCCTACTTTATAGGACACTGAGGTCCAGATGGTTGAGATGATGTAGCTAGGGTCACAAAGCTATTAATAGGTTGCAATAAAGATGTAACTGAACAATTTAATGTAATCGAGGGCTGAAAGTGATTTAATTTACCTTTGATTTTTTTTTTCTTTTTCTTTTTTTTTTTTTTTTGAGATGGAGTTGCCCAGGCTGGAGTGCAGTGGTGCCATCTCGGCTCTCTGCAACCTCCACCTCCAGGTTCAGGCGATTCTCCTGCCTCAGCCTCCCAAATAGCTGAGATTACAGTTGTGTGCTACCAGGCCCAGCTAATTTTTGTATTTTTAGTAGAGATGGGGGTTTCATCATGTTGGGTAGGCTGCCTCGAACAACTCCTAAACTCAAGTGATCTACCTGCCTCAGCCTCCCAATGTGCTAGGATTACATCTTTTCCAGTCTACCTTCCATTTTTTTACTGTAAGGTATAGAAATTCAAATGCCTAGACAGGAGAAATACAAACTGTGGCAAACTAAAGAATAAGCGCTCTCTTGATAGGTGGCAGGTCAGTTCCAAATAATCGTTGCCATATAGACATGCAGGTCTACTGATATTAGATTTTCCAAAATTAACAAGAGAAGCCGGGCCGGGCGCGGTGGCTCAAGCCTGTAATCCCAGCACTTTGGGAGGCCGAGGCAGGTGGATCACGAGGTCAAGAGATGAAGACCATCCTGGTCAACATGGTGAAACCCCGTCTCTACTAAAAATATAAAAAATTAGCTGGGCATGGTGGCGTGTGCCTGTAATCCCAGCTACTCAAGAGGCTGAGGCAGGAGAATTGCCTGAACCCAGGAGGCGGAGGTTGCAGTGAGTCGAGATCGTGCCATTGTACTCCAGCCTGGGTAACAAGAGCGAAACTCCATCTCAAAAAAAAAAAAAAAAAAAAAACAAGAGAAGCCAAACCATTTAAATTGTTATATGTAGACTTCTGCATATTTGGTTGGTAAACAATTTAAGATTAGGCTGGGCATGGTGACTCATGCATGTAATCCCAGCACTTTGGGAGGCTGAGGTGGGTGGATCACTTGAAGTCAGGAATTCAAGACCAGCCTGGCCAACATGGTGAAAACCCATCTTTACTAAAAATACAAGAATTATCTGAGCATGGTGGCATGCACCTGTAGTCCCAGCTACTTGGGAGTCTGAGGCAGGAAAATCACTTTAACCTGGGAGGCAGAGGTTGCAGTAAGCCAAGATCATGCTGCTGCACTCCAGCCTGGGTGAAAGTTTGAGAGTGTTTCAAAACAACAACAACAACAACAACAACTTAAGATTAAAACAATATGGAAATGTTACATGGACCTAACAAAATATGTATGTGGGCTACCAGTGTTCAACTTCTGCCCTTGTGTATAGCAGAGAATAATCGTTTCTTTTTTTTTTTTGAGATGGAGTCTTGCTGTCACCAGCCTGGAGTACAGTGGCGCCTCCTAGGTTCAAGCGATTCTCCTTTCTCAGCCTCCCTAGTAGCTGGGACTACAGGCATGCCCCACCATGCCCAGCTAACTTTTTTTGTATTTTTAGAAGGGACGGGGGTTTCACCATGTGGGCATGGATGGTCTTGATCTCCTGACCTCATGATCCACCCGCCTTGGCCTCCCAAAGTGCTGGGATTGCAGGTGTGAGCCACCACGCCTGGCTAATAGTTGTTTCTTATTAGTGGGTTCATTCATTCATTAATTTAAATACTTATAGAGCACCCACTCTGTACTAAGCCCTGTGGTAGTGGCCGGGGATACAATGATGAGCAAAATACACTACCTGTTTTTTTTTTTTTTTTGAGACAGAGTTTCACTCTTGTTTGCCAAGCTGGAGTGCAATGGTGTGACCTCTGCCTCCCAGGTTCAAGCGATTCTCCTGCCTCAGCCTTCCGAGTAACTGGGATTACAGATATGTGCCACTATCCTGGCTAATTTTGTGTGTGTGTGTGTGTGTGTGTATATATATATATATATATATATATAAAAATTTTTTTTTTTTTTTAAGAGCGGGGTCTCACTATATTGCCCAGGCAGGTCTTGAACTCCTGGGTTCAAGCTATCCTCCCACCTCTGCCTCCGTAAGAGTTGGGATTACAGGCATGAGCCATAGCACCCAGCATAATTTTGTATTTTTAGTAGAGATGGGGTTTCTCCATGTTGGTCAGGCTGGTCTCTAACTCCCGACCTCAGGTGATCCACCCACCTCGGCCTCCCAAAGTGCTGGGATTACAGGTGTGAGCCACCACACCCGGCCATTTTTTTCTTATAGGAAAACCCTGCTGGTATTCTTAGGAATGTTTTGCTCATGGCTGGCAGCATACAGCCCTGCTCTTTGGCCACAGGGCATGTGGTCCGCAACTGCTGGTCTTACCGAGATCCATGGCATGCACATCTGAGAAGCTTCTGTTTGGATTTGCTCCCCCAACAATGAAGACCTTCCCTCTCTTGGCATTACCAACTGGGGGTAAATATGAACAGCTGTGGCCAACTCGAGCACAGGGGCTGTCTCCTTGGAGAGTCAAGGTGTACCTGCCAAAGGGAGGATGTATTCAGGAGGCCTGAGCAGATAATAAATGCAGTAGTGCATTCTTTCCATTCCTCATGAAATATTCAGCAAATGAAGGGTCTTATGCAGACACTTTAAACTGTACCCAGCAAAACAGTGCTTCTCTGATTAATAACAGTACCTCCCCGGATGGGCGTGCTGGCTCATGCCTGTAATTCCAGTACTTTGGGAGGCTGAGGTGAGCAGATCATGAGGCAAAGAGATAGAGATCATCCTGGCCAACATGGTGAAACCCATCTCTACTAAAAATACAAAAATTAGCTGGGCGTGGTAGTGTGTACCTGTAGTCCCAGCTACTCAAGAGGCTGAGGCAGGAGAACCGCTTGCACCTGGGAGGTGGAGGTTGCAGTGAGCCAAGATCACACCACTGCACTCCAGCCTGGCGACAGAGTGAGATTCAGTTTCATAAAAAAATAAAATAAAGGCCGGGTGCAGTGGCTCAAGCCTGTAATCCCAGCACTTTGGGAGGCCGAGGCGGGTGGATCACGAGGTCAAGAGATCAAGACCATCCTGGTCAACATGGTGAAACCCCGTCTCTACTAAAAATATAAAAAATTAGCTGGGCATGGTGGCACGTGCCTGTAATCCCAGCTACTCGGGAGGCTGAGGCAGGAGAATTGGGTGAACCCAGGAGGCGGAGGTTGCGGTGAGCCGAGATCGCGCCATTGCACTCCAGCCTGGGTAACAAGAGTGAAACTCCGCCTCAAAAATAAATAAATAAATAAATAAAAATAAAATAAAATAAATAATAGTACCTCCCCTTTGCACACAGTCTTTGGCTTTTCAATGTTGTCACTGTCTTCATCTCACAGTAATCTGGTAGAGATGCACTGGACTTATTTGTCCCCATTTGGTAGACAGTGAAACTGACCTCCAGAAATGTTCAGTGATGTGTCTTGGCACAGGATGGTGGCTGTGAACATGGTGTGTGAATTCAGACAGATCTGGTTCGAATTCCAGCTCAGGTACTTCCTAGATGTGTGACCTTTGGGAAGTCATTTAACCTTTCTGAACTTTAGTTTACTCATTTCTGAAATGAGGATAGCAATAGTTCTTAATGCAAAAGATAATTGTGAAGACAAGACGTCATAACAGGGCAGGGAAGGACTCAATAAATGGTGACTGGAGCTTTATGTGCCACCACATGGGAACCAACAGACCCAGGGTTCTTGCCACTAGCCAATGATTCCTCCCCATCAAAAAGTTCTCCAGAATTTACTTATTTAAGAGCTTTTCCAGATTACTCGCAAAACTCAATCTGATGGAAGCCAAAGCTACTTGCTCAGTTGCCCAGGCTGAGTGCAGTGCAATCTTGGTTCAAAACCACCTCCACTTTCTGGGTTCAAGTGATTCTCCTGCCTCAGCTTCCCGAGCAGCTAGGACTACAGGAGCGCATCACCATGCCCAGCTAATTTTTGTAAAAAAATTGGTGAAATCCCATCTCTCTCTCTCTCTCTCTCTTTTTTTTAAAGACGGGGTTTTGCCATGTTGGACAGGCTGATTTCGAACTCCTGACCTCAAATGATACACCCGCCTCAGCCTCCCAAAGTGCTGGGATTACAGGCATGAGCCACTGAGCCCAGCTGAAGCCCCATCTCTACTAAAATACAAAAATTAGCTGGGCATGGTGGCGCATGCCTGAGGTCCCAGCTACTCAGGAGGCTGAGTCAGGAGAATTGCTTGAACCAGGTAGGCAGAGGACGCAGTGAGCCGAGATCACGCCACTACACTCCAGCCTGGAAACAGAATGAGTCTCCATCTCAAAAAACAAACAAACAGACAAACAAACAAACAAAAAACCCTTTGAGGATAACAGCTGTTATCATCATCTGAGCATTACAACTGAGGAACTGAGGCATAGAAAGGTTAAGTAATTTACCCAAAAGCACACAGCCATCCAGAGATGGTGCATTAAGACAAAAAAAAGTCCTTGCCTTGAGAGCCCTATTGTTTGAGAAAGTTAAACAATTTCACAACTATCTGTTTCACTTCAATTGTGGTAGAAAGGAGTACAGAATATATAGCACGAGGACATGCATGTCTTAGGAGGGGCTTACCCTGTAAGGAGCCAGGGAGACAGGGTGGTCAGAGGAGGCTTCCTGAAGAAGCATTATTTGGATAGAGATCTGAAGTATGAGTAGAAGTTAGCTGGGCAGGCCAGGCATGGTGGCTCACACCTGTAATCCCAGCACTTTGGGAGGCTGAAGTAGGAGGATCGCTTAAGCCCAGGAGTTTGAGACTAGCCTGGGCAATATAGCGAGAACCTGTCTCTCTCTCTCTCTTTTTTTTTTTCAGAAAGATTCTCGTTCTGCCCAGGTTGGAGTGCAGTGGTGCAAAATTGGCTCACTGTAACCTCTCCCTCTTGGGTTCACACGGTTCTCCTTCCTCAGCCTCCTGGGTAGCTGGGACTACAGGTGCATGCTACAATGCCCAGCTAATTTTTTGTATTTTTAGTAGAGATGTGGTTTCACCATGTTAGCCAGGATGGGTGAGACCCTGTCTCTCAAAAAAAAAAAAAAAAAAAATTAGCTGGGCATGGTAGAATACACTTATAGTCCCAGTTACTTGGGAGACTGAGGGGGAGGGTTACTTGAGCCCAGGAGGTTGAGGCTATAATGAGCCGTGATTGTACCACTGCATTCCAGCCTGGGTGGCTAGCCACAGAAGAAGATCTTGTCTCAAAAATAAAATAAAATAAGCTGGGCAAAGAGGGGGACAAAAGGTAGAGGGAAAGAAGTCCAGGTAGAGAGACCAGCATGTGCAGCTCCTGGGTAGAACAGAGCAGGGCACAGTAAAGAAGAGAAAGGTAACAAAGGAACAAGTCACAGGAGTTGAGGTTGGAAATACAGGCAGAAACATTTAGCAGGGAGCACTGGGCCAGTTTAGGAAGTTTGATTTTTTTTATTTTGTTTTTGAGATGGAGTCTCAATGGTGCTTCTAACCTCTGTTGCCCAGGATGGAGTACAGTGGCGCCATCTTGGCTCACTGCAACCTCTGCCTCCCAGGTTCAAGCAATTCTCCTGCCTCAGCCTCCCGAGTGGCTGGGATTAGAGGCATGCACTACAACACCCCAATAATTTTTGTATTTTTAGTAGAGACAGGGTTTCGCCATGTTGGCCAGTCTAGTCTCAAATTCCTGGCCTCAAGTGATCTGCCAACTTCAGCCTCCCAAAGTGCTAGGATTATAGGAATGAGCCATTGCGCCCGGACAGAAGTCTGATTTTTTTTTTTTGAGACGGATTCTTGTTCTGTCACTCATGCTGGAGTACAGAGGCATGATCTCAGCTCACTGCAAAATCTGCCTCCTGGGTTCAAGCAATTCTCCTGTCTCAGCCTCCCTAATAGCTGGTTCTACAGTAGCAGGCCACCACGCTGGCTAATTTTTGTATTTTTAGTAGAGATGGGGTTTCACCATATTGGTCAGGCTGGTTTCAAACTCCTGACCTCAGGAGATCCACCCATCTCGACCTTCCAAAGTGCTGGAATTACAGGCATGAACTACTGCACCCAGCTCAGGAGTCTGATTTTTATCCCAACACCAACAGGAAGGCACAAAAGGATTTTAAACTAGGAAATGCCATGATTGGCTGTATTCTGGGTACAGAGCAAGACAGATGCAGGGAAGCCAGATTGGAGTCTCTCCTTCAAAGTCCAGTTGAAAAACTGAAACCTCTCTACAGCCTTCTGTGGACCCGGCCTCAGAACAGATCACATTTCATCACCATCACCTTCTTAGTCTGTCCCCAGCACACAGAGACTATTACAATTCTACCTCCAGCAGCCACGCAGCAGCTGCCCCCCAAGGCCAATGTCAGTCGTTGGAACAAAAGGTTGGTTGAACAAAACAGCTAAGAAACAGCGAAGCCAGTTTAATCCAAATCTAATTTCCTAAAAATCTTAAAAATGAGTAAGAGCTCAGGGGAAGACACAGAGGCTGCCAGATGGTCAGTGCCTTACTATTTCTGGTAAATGGATTTTAATAAAATCAACATCTGCTCTGTGATAATTACTGCCCCCCTATCTTTCCTCTGAAGACCTTCTCAGACAGTTTGAGTCTAATTACCAGAAACCGCAGTTTCATCTCTACCCTTTTTTGTTGATGATCAAATATGTTAGTAAACTACTCATAAATGAAACAAAAACTCATGCTTTTCTGTGTTTGGATCCTTCCTTACAGACCATGATGCTTTCCTGGGCTTGTCTCCAGGTTCCAAGATGGGCAGCTGCTTCATGGTGTCCTATGCATAAGAAAAAAGGTACTTTTTAGACATTTGTGGTTATCTTCTTCCTAAAACACAGGACAAATCAGTTCAACCTCCTCTTTAAAACCTTTCCTGGAAGGAGATCCAAGATGGCCGATCGCTAACATCCCGGGATTGCAGCTCTCAGGGAAGGCGGGGAGAACTAGAGGACGCCACACTTTCAGACAAATTCTGGTCGCTCACGGAGCAGAAGATCCCCCAGCGGAGGAAACACACCGGTGGCCAGCGCGACTCTCGTGGCCGGCGCAGCAGTTCCGCCAGCAACTCTGCAAGGCAGCTCTCAGAGCAGAGTAAACAGGTTTGGAGGACCCGCACGGGCCCCCAGCACAACACCAGAGCCCAGCGCAGCGGCTGTGATGGCACCTCGGAGCGGCAGCGCTTGGCACAGAGTAAACGGGACCGGTTCCCCTTCTGACCGAGGTTTGGAGCCCCGGGAAGGCAGAGTCGCCTACTACGGACACAAGAAGGAAGCCAGACAGGAGAATCCTGGGAAGAAAAGCACCATCAGTTTTAATGCCACTGCTCTGGCCCTGGGAACTAACAACCTGGACGCCCACTCAAGAGACCTAATCTGAAAGTTGGTAAATTCAAAGACGACGGGAGGATAAATTTACAATGACGGGAAGAAACCAGCGTAAAAAAGCTGAGAATACTCAAAGTCAGAAGGCCTCTCCCTCTAAAGATGATCACAGTTCCACATCGACAATGGAACAAGGCTTGATGGAGAGGGAGCGCATCCCAATGACAGAAGTCCTCTTCAAGGAATGGATAATAACAAACTTCGGTGAGTTAAAAGAACATGTTGTAGCCCAACGTAAAGAAACTAGGAACTTTGAAAAAAGGTTTCATGAAATCCTATTGAGAATAGACAACTTAGAGAGGAGTATGAGTGAATTAATGGAACTGAAGAATACAATACAGGAACTCCGAGAAGTATGCACAGGTTTAAACACTCGAATTGTTCAAGCAGAAGAAGGGATATCAGAGGTCAAAGTCCAACTTAATGAAATAAAACGTGAAGAAAAGATTAGAGAAAAAAGGATAAAAAGGAATGAGCAAAGTCTCCAAGAAATGTGGGACTATGTGAAAAGACCAAATTTACGTTTGATAGGTGTACCTGAATGCGACAAAGAGAATGAATCCAAGCTGGAAAATACCCTTCAGGATATTATTCAGGAAAATTTTCCTAAACTAGCAAAGCAGGTCAATATTCAACCCCAGGTAATACAGAGAACACCACAAAGATATTCCTCAAGAAGAGCAACCCCAAGGCACATAATCGTTATTCACCAGGGTTGAAACGAAGGAGAAAATACTAAGGGCAGCCAGAGAGAAAGGTCAGGTTACCCACAAAGGCAAGCCTATCAGACTTACAGCAGATCTCTCAGCAGAAACTCTACAAGCCAGAAGAGAGTGGGGGCCAATATTCAACATCCTCAAAGAACAGAACCTTCAGCCCAGAATTTCATATCCAGCCAAACTAAGCTTCACAACTGAAGGAAAAATAAAATCTTTTATGAACAAGCAAGAACTCAGAGATTTTATTACCACCAGGCCTGCTTTACAAGAGCTTCTGAAAGAAGTATTACACACAGAAAGAAACAACCAGTATTAGCCTTTCTAAAAATACACCAAAAAGTAAAGAGCACCAACATAAAGAAGAATTTACACCAACGAATGGATAAAACAGCCAGTCAACATTAAATGGCAGTAACCCTAAATTTAAATTGACTAAATTCCCAATCAAAAGACACAGCCAAAACCCAATGGCATGTTACATCCAGACCTGTTTCACATGCAAGGATACACAAAGACTCAAAACAAAGGGATGGAGAAAGATTTACCAACCAAATGGAGAGCAAAAATAAATAATAAATAAATAAAAAGTAGGAGTTGCAATTCTCATATCGGATAAAATAGATTTTAAAGCAACAAAGATATAGTGGTAAAAGGATCAGTGCAACAACAAGAGCTAACGATCCTAACACCCAGATACATAAAGACTTAGACTCAATGAGACAGAAAATTAATAAGGATATCAAGGACTCAAACTCAGATCTGGAACAAGTAAACTTAATATTTATAGAGCTCTCCACTTCAAATACACAAAATATACATTCTTGTCAATACCACATCATACCTACCCATAAGTTTAAATGAAACATTGATTGGCCATTATTAATACCCAATTTTTTTCAGAATAAAGCAATATTTCCGTTTACTCTCCCTCTTTCTCTTCCTCTTTCTTCCTCTCCTTTACTTATTTTTTTTCTTTCCTTCTCTCAAAAAAAAAGAAATCAACTTGTAAACCAGGTCAGTAATGTCTCTCTCATTGCTTGATTTCCTTCCTTCCCTTCCCTCCCTCCCTCCCTCCCCCCTTCTTCCCTTCCTTCATTCCTTCCTTCCTCCCTACCGTCCTCCTTCCCTCCCTTCCTGCCTTCCTCCAAAAAAAAAAAAAAAAAAAAAAACATTTCCTATTGAATGTACTAATTTCTAGGGCCTGATTAATTTAAATAAGCACCACCAACCTTTTGTTTTTATTTATTATGTATGTATTTGAGTTGGAGTTTCACTCTTGTTGCCCAGGCTGGAGTGCAATAGGACGATCTCAGCTTACTGCAACCTCCACCTCCCAGGTTCAAGCAATTCTCCTGCCTCAGCCTCCTGAGTAGCTGGAATTACAGGCATGTACCACCATGCCTGGCTAATTTTTTTTTTTTTTTGAGACGGAATCTTGCTGTGTCTCCAGGCTGGAGTGCAGTGGCACAATCTCAGCTCACTGCAACCTCCACCTCCTGGGTTCACAGGATTCTCCTGCCTCAGCCTCCCAAGTAGCTGAGACTACAGGCACATACCACCAAGCTCAGCTGATTTTTGTGATTTTAGTAGAGGTGGGGTTTCCCCATGTTGGCCAGGATGGTCTCGATCTCTTGACTTCATGATCTGCCTGCCTGGGCCTCTCAAAGTGCTGGGATTACAGGCATAAGCCACTTCGCCCAGCCTTATTTTTTGTATTTTTAGTAGGGATGGGGTTTTGCCATGTTAGTAATGCTAGTCATCTCGAACTCCTGACCTCAGGTGATCTGCCTGCCTTACCCTCCAAAAGTGCTGGGATTACAGGCATGAGCCACTGCGCCTGGCTTTATTTTTTATTTTATTTTGTCTGAGACGAAGTCTCACTCAGTCACCCAGGCTGGAGTGCAGTAGCATGATCTCAGCTCACTGTAGCCTCTGCCTCCTGGGTTCAAGCAATTATCCTGCCTCGGCCTCCTAAAAGTGCTAGGATTACAGGTGAGAGCCACCGGTCCCAGCCTATTTATTTATTTTTAATTAAAAATAGAAATGGGGCCAGGCACAGTGGCTCACACCTGCAATCCCAACACTTTGGGAGGCTGAGGCGGGTGGATTGCCTGAGGTCAGGAGTTTGAGACAAGCCTGACCAACATGGTGAAACCCCATCTCTACTAAAAATACAAAAATTAGCCCACCGTGGTGGTGTGCACCTTTAATTCCAGCTACTCAAGAGGCTTAGGCAGGAGAATCGCTTGAACCAGGAGGTGGAGACAACAGTGAACTGAGATCTTGCCACCGAACTCCAGCCTGAGCAACGGAGCGAGACTCGTCTCAAAAAAAAAAAAAAGTCCAGGCGCAGTAGCTCGCACCTGTAATCCCAGAACTTTGGGAGGCCAAGGTGGGTGGATCACCTGGGATCAGGAGTTTGAGACCAGCCTGGCCAACATGGTGAAACCCCATCCCTACTAAAAGCACCACAATTAGCAGGGTGTAGTGGCATATGCCTGTAATCCCAGTTACTTGGGAGGCTGAGGCAGAATTGCTTGAACCTGGGAGAGAGAGGTTGCAGTGAGCCGTGATTGTGCCACTGCACTCCAGCCTGGGTGACAGAGCAAGACTTTGTCTCAAAAATAAATAAATAAATTATAAATAAAGAGACAGAAATACTGAACTCTAGGATAAATCTTGGCCTCAGCATAGCATAGAAAGTAAAGCCTTCTGGTGTCAACCTTTTTTTCTGGGAACTCACCTCCACAATCTCTTGCATTGTTGGGCTTTTTGCTGTTCGTATAATATGTCAGGCCTTTTCATAATCTTGCAGTCTGTGCTGCTTCCACTATCTGGAGTGTTGCTTCCCTTCTGGGAAATTTGCAAACTCCTAGTCAACCTTGAAAGCCCAGTTCAAAAGTCCCTTCCTTAGGGAAACCTTAACTGATTTGTCACTTCTCTCTTCTACCCTCTTCCAAGTTACTTCCTTCTCCCACCCATTGTGCTCTGAAGGTATTAAGCCACCACCACTGCAGGAATCATTTAGAATGCGTTTATCTATTTAATGCCCTTAGACTAGATTCAAGACTAAATTCCACTAGACTAAGATCCTAGGGGGCTGGGCCTGTCAGATTCATTCTGAGAACCTACCAATGGACGTGGCATAGAGTAGAAGTCGGGGAGTGACGAGTGAATGAAGAAAGAAAATAGATCGAGAGCTTCATGGAAACTGAACAACTGGCTCTTGAATGTTGACTGGGTAAACAATGAAATGAAGGCAGAAATAAAGAAGTTCTTCGAAACCAATGAGAATGAAGACACAACGTGCCAGAACCTCTGGGACACATTTAAAGCAGTCTCTAGAGGAAAGTATATAGCAATAAGTGCCCATACGAGGAGAATGGAGAGATCCAAAATTGACACCCTATCGTCAAAATTGAAAGAGCTAGAGGAGCAAGATCAAAAAAACTCAAAACCCAGCAGAAGAAAAGAAATTACTAAGATCAGAGCTGAGCTGAAGGAGATTGAGACACGAAAAACCCTTCAAAAAATCAATAAATCCAAGAGCTGGTTTTTTGAAAAGATCAACAAAATAGACAGACCACTAGCCAGATTGATTAAAAAGAAAAGAGAGAACAACCAAATAGATGCAATAAAAAATGATAAAGGGGAAATCACCACAGATTCCACAGAAATTCAAACCATCATCAGAGAATATTACAAACAACTCTATGCACATAAACTAGTAAACCTGGAAGAAATGGATAAATTCCTGGACTCCTGTGTCCTCCCAAGCCTAAACCAGGAGGAAGCTGAAACTATGAATAGACCAATAACAAGGTCTGAAGTTGAGGCAGCAATTAAGAGCCTACCTCACAAAAAAAGCCCAGGTCCAGATGGGTTCACAGCCGAATTCTACCAGACACACAAGGAGGAGCTGGTACCATTCCTTCTAAAACTATTTCAAACAATCCAAAAAGAGGGAATCCTTCCCAAATCATTTTATGAGACCAACATCATCCTGATACCAAAACCCGGCAGAGACCCAACGAGAAAAGAAAACTTCAGGCCAATATCCATGATGAACATAGATGCAAAAATCTTCAATAAAATATTGGCAAGCCGATTGCAACAGCAAATCAAAAAACTTATTCATCATGATCAAGTAGGATTCATCCCAGGGATGCAAGGCTGGTTCAACATACGCAAGTCTATCAACGTAATTCACCACATAAACAGAACCAAAAACAAAAACCACATGATTATCTCAATTGACGCAGAGAAGGCATTTGACAAAATTCAACAGCCCTTTATGCTAAAAACCCTCAATAAACTCGGTATCGATGGAACGTATCTCAAAGTAATAAAAGCTATTTATGACAAACCAACAGCCAATATCATACTGAATGGGCAAAAACTGGAAGCATTCCCTTTGAAATCTGGTACTAGACAAGGATGCCCTCTCTCACCACTCCTATTCAATATAGTACTGGAAGTTCTAGCCAGAGCAATCAGGCAAGAAAAAGAAATAAAGGGTATTCAAATAGGAAAGGTGGAAGCCAAATTGTCTCTATTTGCAGACGACATGATAGTATACCTAGAAGACCCCATCACCTCAGCCCAAAAACTCCTGAAACTGATAAACAACTTCAGCAAAGTCTCAGGATATAAAATCAATGTGCAAAAATCACAAGCATTCGTCTACACCAATAACAGACTTAAAGAAAGCCAAATCAAGAGCGAACTGCCATTCGCAATTGCTACAAAAAGAATAAAATACCTTGGAATACAACTCACAAGGAACGTAAGGGACCTCTTCAAGGAGAACTACAAACCACTGCTCAACGAAATCAGAGAGGACACAAACAGATGGAGAAACATTCCATGTTCATGGTTAGGAAGAATTAATATCGTGAAAATGGCTATACTGCCCAAAGTAATTTACAGAATCAATGCTATCCCCATCAAGCTACCATTGACTTTCTTCACAGAACTGGAAAAAACCACCATGAACTTCATATGGAACCAAAAGAGAGCCCGCATAGCCAAGTCAATTCTAAGCAAAAAGAACACAGCGGGGGGCATCACACTACCGGATTTCAAACTATACTACAAGGCTACAGTAATCAAAACAGCATGGTACTGGTACCAAAACAGAGATATAGACCAATGGAACAAAACAGAGGCACCAGAGGCAACACAACATACATACAACTATACAATCTTTGATAAACCTGACAAAAACAAGCAATGGGGCAAGGATTCCATGTTTAACAAATGGTGTTGGGAAAACTGGCTAGCCATGTGCAGAAAGCAGAAACTGGACCCCTTCCTGACACCTTACACTAAAATTAACTCCAGATGGATTAAAGACTTAAACATAAGACCTGGCACCATAAAAACCCTAGAAGGAAATCTAGGCAAAACTATCCAGGACATAGGAGTAGGCAAGGACTTCATGAACAAAACACCAAGAGCATTGGCAACAAAAGCCAAAATAGACAAATGGGACCTAATCAAACTCCACAGCTTCTGCACGGCAAAAGAAACAGTCACTAGAGTGGATCGGCAACCAACAGAATGGGAAAAAATTTTCGCAGTCTACCCATCTGACAAAGGGCTGATATCCAGAATTTACAAACAACTCAAGCAGATTTACAGGAAAAAAACAAACAAGCCCATTCAAAAGTGGGCAAAGGATATGAACAGATACTTTACGAAAGAAGACATATATGAGGCCAACAATCATATGAAAAAATGCTCATCATCACTGGTCATCAGAGAGATGCAAATCAAAACCACATTGAGATACCATCTCACGCCAGTTAGAATGGCGATCATTAAAAAATCTGGAGACAACAGATGCTGGAGAGGATGTGGAGAAAAAGGAACACTTTTACACTGTTGGTGGGAGTGTAAATTAGTTCAACCATTGTGGAAGACAGTGTGGCGATTCCTCAAGGCCTTAGAAATAGAAATTCCATTTGACCCAGCAATCCCATTACTGGGTATATATCCAAAAGACTATAAATCGTTCTACTATAAGGACACATGTACACGAATGTTCATTGCAGCACTGTTTACAATAGCAAAGACCTGGAATCAACCCAAATGCCCATTGATAATAGACTGGATTGGAAAAATGTGGCACATATACACCATGGAATATTATGCAGCAATCAGAAATGATGAGTTCGTGTCGTTTGTAGGAACATGGATGAATCTGGAAAACATCATCCTCAGCAAACTGACACAAGAACAGAAAATGAAACACCGCATATTCTCACTCATAGGTGGGTGATGAAAAATGAGAACACATGGACACAGAAAGGGGAGTACTAAACACTGGGGTCTATTGGGGGGAAAAGGGGAGGGCCAGTGGGAGGGGGAGGTGGGGAGGGATAGCCTGGGGAGAAATGCCAAATGTGGGTGAAGGGGAGAAGAAAAGCAAAGCACACTGCCATGTGTGTACCTACGCAACTGTCTTGCATGCTCTGCTCATGTACCCCAAAACCTATAATCAAATAAAAAATTAAAAAAAAAAAAAAAAAAAAAAAAAAAAGAAAATAGATCGAGAGATGAATGGATAAATCCCACCTGCGGCCTAGGCCACTGACCACTGTCCCCAAAGTCCAGAGGTCTGTGAGGTTGGCTTCATGTGGGCGGGATCTCCCGCAGCCGCTGCCACTACCCGCCCCCCAAATCTCATCCCCACGTGGTAGTTCTAGGGGATAGGAGACGCGGTCGGGAGAGAACAGGCTGGCTTCTTTCGGTCAAACTGGATGGGACGGAGCCAGAGAAGTCCCTTCCTAATTCTTTCCACCCGGCTTGGGCCTACTCCCTTATAGGATTTGGACCCCCTGCCCAAGACTGTCATAGACCGTGGATCCGGGGACCCCCTACCCCCACGCGCGAGCCCCCGACCCCCACGCGCGAGCCCCGGACCGCATTACCTGCGGCGACTTAGGCCAGTTGCGAGCCGTGACTCCGCCCCCGGAGGGGCGGGGCTTAGGTCCGGGCTCCCCACTCCCAGGACCCGGAAGAGCGTGCGGGCCAACTACTCCCTCCTCCCTGCTAGGCCCCCAGGGCCGGGTGCTGCCTTCCTGGGCTGGCGGCGGAGGACACCCCACCCCCACTCCCAGGAGATCCGGAGTGTCCGCCAGGTTGTGCATTTCTCGGGAATCACGCGGCCTGGGCCTTCCCTGGATCCCTCCCTTCCCGACGGGATAAATAAGCCGGGGCTGCTTGGAAACGACTTGTGCAATGCCTGGTTCGGGCGTCCGTTTGGGGAACCCAAATTTCTGCGGTAGCTGATCTACTCTAAGGGACTAACGGGGCCGGGCGCCACCAAACTCCAGCGTGGGCAACAGGGCAAAAACACCGTCTCAAAAAAAAAAGTGGGCCGGGCATGGTGGCTGACGCCTGTAATCCTAGCACTTTGGGAGGCCAAGGCGGGTGCATTGCTTGGGGTCAGGAGTTGGAGACCAGCCTGTTAACATGGTGAAACCCGTCTCTACTAAAAATACAAAAAGGAGCTGGGCCTGGTGGCGGGTGCCTGTAATCCTAGCTATTCCGGAGGCTGAAGCAGTAGAATCGCTTAAACTGGGGGGTGGAGGTTGCTGCCAGCCGAAATCCACCACTTTCCGCTCATAAGAGCAAAAGAGCTAAAATCCGTCTGAAGGGGAGGAGGGGGTGGGGGTATAACAGTTAACACTTTAAGTTACAACGATTGTTAACGGTTTCAGAAGGGGAGAACTGAGCATGCAATCTGCTTGCGCAGTTTTCAGGCCTGCTCAAGATTTGGTGGTTTAAACAGCTGATTCATTCCATAATTGCCATTTGTAATTATGGCAGGTGCCTATAATCCCAGCGACTTGGGAGGCTGAGGCAGGAGAATCACTTGAACCCGGGAGATAAAGGTTGCAGTGAGTCAAGGTCGCGCCACTGCACTCCAGCCTGGGTGACAGAGCGAGACTCTCAAAGATTTCTATCATAGTTGTGGTGAGGAATACATGAGATAATGTAAATAAAAGTGCTCGGCAAGCCGGGTGCGGTGGCTCACGCCTGTAATCCTAGCACTTTGGGAGGCTGAGGTGGGTGGATCACGAGGTCAAGAGATCGAGACCAGCCTAGTCAACATGGCGAAACCCCGCCTCTACTAAAAATACAAAAAATTAGCTGGGCATGGTGGCGCGGGCCTGTAATCCCAGCTACTCAGGAGGCTGAGGCAGGAGAATTGCCCAGGAGGCGGAGGTTGCGGTGAGCCGAGATCGTGCCATTGCACTCCAGCCTGAGTAACGAGCGAAACTCCCTCTCAAAAAAAAAAAAATGCAGGTTGCAGGCCAGGTGCGGTGGCTCATGCCTGTAATACCAGCACTTTAGGAGGCTGAGACAGGTGGATCACTTGAGGTCAATAGTTTGAAACCAGCCTGGCCAACATAGTGAAAACCTGTCTCCAGCTGGGCAAGGTGGCTCAAGTCTGTAATCCCAGCACTTTGGGAGGCCAAGGCGGGCGGAACACGAGGTCAAGAGATCGAGACCATCCTGGCCAACATGGTGAAACCCCATCTCTACTAAAAATATTTAAAAAATTAGCTTGGCATGGTAACATGCTCCTGTAGTCCCAGCTACCCGGGAGGCTGAAGCAGAAGAATTGCTTGAACCTGGGAGGCAGAGGTTGCAGTGAACTGAGATCACCACTGCACTCCAGTCTGGTGCCTGGTGACAGAGCGAGACTGTCTCAAAAAAACAAACAAACAACAACCAAAAAAAAACGAAAAAAGAAAACCTGTATCTACTAAAAACACAAAATTAGCTGGACATGGTGGTGTGCACCTGTAATCGCAGCTACTTGGGAGGCTGAGGCAGGAGAATTAACTTGAATCTGGGAGGTGGAGGTTGTAGTGAGCCAAGATCGTGCCACTGCACTCCAGCCTGGGGAACACAGCAAGACACCGTCTCAAAAATAAAAAAATCCAGGGTTCAATACTAACCATCTAACTGACAGTTGGCAAGTTACCCACTCTGAACCCTAGTTCCTCATCTATAGAATGAGGATAGTAATACCTACTGTGCAGACAGAGCTGTTGAGAGGATGTGCTAATACAGGTGAAAAGCCAAGTTGGTGAAAGGAATCTTTTAGCTACTGGAAACCATAACCAAAATTTATTGACAACAAATAGAATTTAAGGTCTGCAGCTCTCCTCACTGCTCAAATGTCTTATTTCAAACATATGGAGTCTTTGTGAGTTTCCACATTATTGGAAAAATCCCCATTGACTGTCTGCCAAAGAGAAGTTTAGGGATATTCAGTCATTCTGGTCTCCTTCAGGGAAGAAAAACAAAACGAGGTTGGCTCCGCCATATGTCCATGTGCATCTCCATGTACATTTCTGCTGAGAGCTGCAGAATGCTCTGATGTCTCTGGTGTTTTCTGGCTAGCTCTGTTTCAAGGTACCATGTTGGAGTGGCACATCAACAAGAAAAATTGGAAGAGGCTTGTGGGTAAAATAGCAACCAGTTTTCATTGTGGGACCTGTGCATTTATTTATTATTTATTTAGAGATGGAGTCTTGCTCTGTCACACAAGGTGAAGTGCAGTGGTGCCATTTCAGTTCACTGCAACCTCCGCCTCCTGGGTTCAAGCAATTCTCCTGCCTCAGCCTCCCAAATAGCTGGGATTACAGCCATGGCCACCACATATAGCTAATTTTTGTACTTTACTTAGTAGAGACAGAATTTCACCGTGTTGGCCAGGCTGGTCTCAAACTCCTAGTCTCAGGTGATCCATCTGTGTTGACTTTGCAAAGCGCTGGGATTACAGGTGTGAGCCACCATGCCTGGTGAACCTATGTTTTTAGACTAGAAATCACATTTGAGAATATGAAATGCCTGAGATTATTTTCTTTTTTTTTCATCATTGTCTATAATTTGTATTTTTTTTCTATTTTCTATTTTTAGGATTTTATTTATTTATTTTGAGATGGAGTCTTGCTGTATCACCCAGGCTGGGTGCAGTGTCATGATCTTGGGTCACTGCAACCTCTGCCTCCTGCGTTCAAGTAATTCTCCTGTCTCGACCTCCCGAGTAGCTGGGACTAGAGGTACATGCCACCATGCCCAGCTAATTTTTGTATTTTTGGTAGAGACAGGATTTCATCATGTTGGTCAGGCTGGTCTTGAATTCCGAATCTCAAGTGACCCACCCACCTCTGCCTCCAAAAGTGCTCGGATTACAGCTGTAAGCCACTGTGCCTGGCATGAGATCTATTTTTTTAAATGGAAATCGAGGCTTAGAGAATTTAAAATAACTACCTCACACAAATGGCAGAACCAGGAATCCAAATCTCTCATTTCTTGCAAGGAAGACTAAGAATGCATTCCAGTCATCAAGCTCTATTACACTGTCTCCATACCAAACCACTGGAAGTGTCTAACACCTCTCCTAAAAGCTTCCCCAGCATTCCAATGCATGCTTTCTTCTTTCTCTCTGCTGTGGATGTGAAGAATGATGTTCATTCAATGAGGTGGGTCTGCAGGAGGGAGCTTCCTGCTGTCAGATAGTGTGGTAATGTGAGGACTGTCAACCTATTTTCACTGGAATAGCACACCATTGACCTCTTCACTGATGCATCAGCAACAGAAGTAATGAATGCTGGTGAGACCTTCCTTTTGAGCATTTCACAGTTGATAAAGAACATTCATATCCATCTCCCTATTTTTCTTCCTTCCCATTCCTGAGAAGGTATGTTGAATAGGATTTATTCGCAATTACTAAGGTTCAGAGATTAATTGTGGCTGGGCACAGTGGCTCACTCCTGTAATCCCAACACTTTGGGAGGCCAAGGGGGGGCTGATCACCTGAGGTCAGGAGTTTGAGACCAGCCTGGCCAACATGGTAAAACCCTATCACTACTAAAAATACAAAAATTAGCCAGATGTGGAGGTGCACGTCTGTAATACCAGCTACTTGGGAGGCTGAGGCAGGAGGATTGCTTGAGCCCAGGAAGCAGAGAGTGCAGTAAGCTGAGCTCACGCCACTGTACTCCAGCCTGGGCAACAGATGGAGATCCTGTCACCAAAAAATAGAAAAAAGTGAATTGCCAGCAATCCAAAGAGGACTATAATGAAAAATAGCCAAACAGTTTTCTGCACTACCCACAGAGGGGTTGTTCTGGATTTCTGTCATAACTTTTTTTATTTTGACAGTTTCGCTCTTATTGCCCAGGCTGGAGTGCAATGGCGCAATCTCAGCTCACTGCAACCTACCCTGAGTTCAAGTGATTCTCCTGTCTCAGCCTCCCAGGTAGCTCGGATTACAGGTATGCACCACCTTGCCTGACTACTGTGTGTGTGTGTGTGTGTGTGTTTAGTAGAGACGGGGTTTCACCATGTTAGTTAGTCTGGTAGCATACTCCTGACCTCAGTTGATCCCCTCGCCTCGGCTTCCCAAAGTGCTGGGATTACAGGTGTGAGCCACCATGCCCAGCCCCCATCATAACTTAAAGGGAAACTTTCCCAATGTCTGGAGCCCTTGATGTCCTGCAAATGAAGGAGGATGTCCTTAAGTTCCTTGTAGCAGGAACCCACTTAGGTGGCACCCATCTTGATTTCCAGATGGAACAGTACATCTATAAAACGAAGAGTGATGGCATCTACATCATAACTCTTAAAGAGGACCTGGGAGAAGTTTCTGCTGGCAGCTTGTGTCACTGTTGCCATTGAAAATTCTGCTGATGTCAGCGTTACTATATTCTCCAGGAATACTGGCCAGAGGGTGGTGCTGAAGTCTGCGGCTACCACTGGAGCTACTCCAATTGCTGGCCACTTCACTCCTGGAACCTTCACTAACCAGATTCAGGCAGGCTCCCAGGAGCCACAGCTTCTTGTGGTTACTGACCCCAGGGCTGACCACCAGCCTCTTATGGAGGCATCTTATGTTAACCTACCTACTATTGCTCTGTGTAACACAGATTCTCCTCTGGGCTATGTGGACATTGCTATCCCAAGCAAAAAGCTCACTCACTCAGTAGTTTGATGTGGTGAATGCTGGCTTGGGAAGTTCTGTGCATGCGTGGCACCATTTCCCATGAACACCCATGGGAGGTCTACTTCTACAGAGATCCTTAAGAGATTGAGGCTGTGACCAAGGAGGAATTTCAGGGCAAATGGACTGCTCCAGGTCCTGAGTTCACTATAACTCAGCCTGAGGTTGCAGACTTGTCTGAAGGTATGCAGGTGACCTCTGTGCCTGTTCAGCAGTTTCCTACTGAAGACTGGAGCACTCAGCCTGCCACGGAAGACTGGTCTGCAGCTCCCACTGCTCAGGCCACTGAATAGGTAGGAGCAACCACTGAATGGTCTTAAACTGTTCTTGCACAGGCTCTTAAGCACATGGAAAAAAGGTTAATGGAAAATAAACATTAGTTTCTTTTCTTTATTTATTGAGATGGAGTCTTGCTTTTTTGCCAGGCTGGAGTGCAGTGGTGCAATCTCGGCTCACTGCAACCTCCACCTCCTGGGTTCAAGTGATTCTCCTATCTCAGCTTCCAGAATAGCTGGGATTACAAGCATCCGCCACCATGCCCAGCTAATTTTTGAATTTTTAGTAGAGATTGGGTTTCATCATGTTGGCCAGGCTGGTCTTGAATTCCTGGCCTCAAGCGATCTGCCCACCTTGGCCTCATTGGTGGGATTACAGGTTTGAGCCACTGTACCCAGCCTCAACAACAACAAAAAATTTTAAATTACCTTACCCTATGCATCTTCATTTGTATCCTTTGTAATATCCTTTATATTAATAATAAACCAATAAATATATTGTCTGTCTCTTCCCAGCAGATTGTAAACCGAATTAGGGCAAGGATCATATTTGTCTTATTCACATCATAGGCACTATGTAACCTTTTTTTTTTTTTTTTTTTGAGACGGAGTTTCGCTCTTGTTACCCAGGCTGGAGTGCAATGGCGCGATCTCAGCTCACTGCAACCTCCGCCTCCTGGGTTCAGGCAATTCTCCTGCCTCAGCCTCCTGAGTAGCTGGGATTATAGGCATGCGCCACTGTGCCCAGCTAATTTTTTGTATTTTTAGTAGAGATGGGGTTTCACTATGTTGACCAGGATGGTCTTGATCTCTTGACCTCGTGATCCACCTGCCTCGGCCTCCCAAAGTGTTGGGCTTACAGGTGTGAGCCACCGCGCCCGGCCGCCTTTTTTTTTTTTTCATTCTTCGAGATGGAGTCTCACTCTGTAGCACAGGCTGGAGTGTAGTAGCACTACCTCAGCTCACTGTAACCTCTGCCTCAAGCGATTCTCCTGCCTCAGCCTCTGAGTATTTTTCTTTTTTTGAGGCAGAGTTTCACTCTTGTTGTCCAGGCTGGAGTGCAATGGCATGATCTTGGCTCACTGCAACCTCTGCCTCCTGGGTTCAAGTGATTCTCCTGCCTCAGCCTCCCGAGTAGCTGGGATTACATGTGCATGCCACCACGCCTGGCTAATTTTTTGTATTTGTAGTAGAGAAAGTATTTCTCCATGGTGGTCAGGCTGGTCTCAAACTCCCAACCTCAGGTGATCCGCCTGCCTTGGCCCCTCCAAAGTGCTTTGATTACAGGCATGAGCCACCACACCTGCATAAGTATTTTGTATTTTAACATTTTTATTATTTTAATTTTTTTTTTCCCTCTCGACCCAGCTTTTCCCGACTCCAGGAAGAACTAGGAAGAGAAGGCTGAGTATTTTGCATTTTAAGTAGAGATGGAGTTTTGCCACGTTGGCCAGGCTGGCCTTGAACTCCTGACCTCAGGTGATCTGCCTGCCTTGGCCTTCCAGAGAGCTGAGATTACAGGTGTGAGCCACTGTAGCCAACCAATAGGCACTATATAACTATTTGTTAAACAAACGAAGAAATGAATGCTTGTGGGCATTATTCATTCTGCAACAAACATTTTTGAGATGGAGTTTCGCTCTTGTTACCCAGGCTGGAGTACAATGGTGCGATCTCGGCTCACCGCAACCTCTGCCTCCTGGGTTCAAGCAATTCTCCTGCCTCAGCCTCCCGAGTAGCTGGGACTACAGGCACGCACCACCATGCCCAGCTAATTTTTGTATTTTTAGTAGAGACGGGGTTTCACCATGTTGACCAGGATGGTCTCGATCTCTAGACTTCGTGATCCACCCGCCTCGGCCTCCCGAAGTGCTGGGATTATAGATGTGAGCCACCTCGCCTGGCCCTGCAACAAACTTTTAAAATTATTTCTACTTTGAAACAATTTCATACTTTCAGAAGAGTTACAATAATAATACAAAGAAGTTCACCCAGATATCTCATTAAGGGTTAGCCAAACGTCCACAGAATACACTGTAGAGAGTGAGAGGATTCATTCCAGGGTCACTTGAGCAACAAATATGTATTGCGCACCTGCTACAATTGGATGACATAACAGTCTCCTAACTGATCTCTTAGCTAGAGCTATTGCACCCCCACCCCAGTCCCATACAGCAGCTTCCTTTTACTAATTTTATTTTATTTATTTTTGAGGATCTCGCTCTGTCCCCCAAGCTGGAGTGCAGTGACACGATCTCAGCTCACTGCAACCTCCATTTCCTGGGCTCAAGCGATTCTTCTGCCTCAGCCTCCAGTGTAGCTGGGACCACAAGCACGCACTACTGCCCCCGGCTAAATTTGGTAGTTTTTGTAGCTACAGATAGGATAGAGATCTTTGTCTATTTTGTTCACTAAGTATTCCAAGCGCCTGCAGCTGTACCTGGTACATCTTTGTTGCTCAATAAAGAGCGGTTGAATAAACTACTGAAGGTATGCGGTACTGTTCTCCGTGCTGGAGTCACAGCAGAAAACTCCCTGCCTTCGTGGGATTCTCACTGGAAGTATGCTTAAGCTTAAGCCATTTTCCAATCTTGGCCCCACCATTTGTTCCCTGTGAGATTTGGGGTAAACTACTTAAAGCCTCCAAGTCTCACTTTCCTACCAATTGTTACAAAGATTAAATGGAAAAATAGAATTTGTATCGCATTTAGCATAAGAAATGTTTTTTTTTTTTGAGATGGAGTTTCGCTGTTGTTACCCAGACTGGAGAGCAATGGCATGATCTCGGCTCACCGCAACCTCCGCCTTCTGGGTTCAGGCAATTCTCCTGCCTCAGCCTCCCGAGTAGCTGGGACTACAGGCGCCACCACCATGCCCAGCTAATTTTTGTATTTTTAGTAGAGACGGGGTTTCACCTTGTTGCCCAGGATGGTCTCGATCTCTTGATGTCGTGATTTACCCGCCTCGGCCTCCCAAAGTGCTAGGATTATAGGCGTGAGCCACCGCGCCCGGCCAAGAAATGCTTTAATATTTCTTTATCTTCCTTTCAGGCTGGAGCCTGACATTTGTGCCACAGGCTTAAGCGAGGTTTTCACAGGCACTTGGAAAGATGCAAACAAGTTACTACGGCCAGGCTTACCCAGTTGTTAAGTGAAAGTGAGAGAGTGCTTAAAAGGGTTGGAAGGAGAAACGAGTGAGTGGCTAGGACGACCTACTCCGCCGTTTTGCCTCGGAAAAGCCTCGCCCGCTGCCGGGAGGTGAAAGTCTGGAGGAACTGAAGGGGAGGAAAAGAAAGGGGTGGCTGTCCACAACGGAAAACTACAAATCCCGGCAACACCCGCGGCAGGCGACTACGGGTCCCATCAGAATTCGCAGGCTGGACCGATGGGGGGGCCTCTTGGGGCCTGCAGCCGGGGTTCAGCCAGAGGGGGCGCCGGGCGTACCGAGGTAGCGGGGAGAAGCGGGTCGCGCTTTAACGGCGCTGCGCAGACGCCACTCACGGTCCGGACGTGACGTAGGAGAGTTCCGGCTTCGGCCTCCGCCGCTGCCGCCGCCGCCGCTGCTTTTACAGCCGCCGCCGCCGCCGACCCCGCCGCTGTCGCCGCGGCTTGTTATTCTCAAAATGGCGCCGCTAGACCTAGACAAGTATGTGGAGATAGCGCGGCTGTGCAAATACCTGCCAGAGAACGACCTGAAGGTGAGCCCTGCCGGGGCGGGAGCGCTGCTTACAGGCTCGCCCCTTCCGGCTGTGGGGCGCCCGCCGGCCCGCCCTTCCTCTCTTCGTGGGACCCCCGCCGGGTATCCCGTCTCTCCGCGGTGGAGGGCCCTCTCCGATGCCATGCGACCCGGCCCGACCCGGCGTCACGCCAATGGTTGGGGGAACCAAGTCCCCCAAATGATGTCCTAGTTGCCTCAGTGGGTATCCCAAGGGATTTCGCGGCCTCTACCCCAGGGTCGCCCCTTTTGGCCTTCGGGCTGCCCCAGGACCCGTAGCTGCAACAGCTTTGCTTAGCAGCTTTCCACCCCTTCCCGGGATCTCCGGCATTCACTGCCGAGCCCCCGCGGCAGTGCCCTCGGGATGGGATCGTCCCCGTTGGAGGTGACAGGAGCGCAGAGTGGCCGGCGTCTGACAGGAGTTGCCACAGGCTCTTGCAACGCGGCCCCAGTTTGTTTAGGTCTCTGAGGAAGGGGAAGGCGGTGGGTCCGAGTGGTTTGGTACTGACGAGAGCGAATGTCAGATCGTCCCTCTTCTCTGCCACTCCTCCACCTTCTCCAAATTGCCTTTTAGGACCGTGGGTTTTCTTCTGCTAATTCAGAGGTGAACCCGTTTCTGAGTATTTTGTTGAGCTTACTGAAGTGGAGAAAGTAGTTGGTTCTTAATAAATACAAATACTTTCCCCTTAACCCCTTCTTAACTCAAGATTTCGTTTTCTTGGTTTTCTAAAGAAGACGAGTTCCTCGTTGCCCTTGAGTCCAAGTAAATGTATGTATGGGTAAAGGAATGAGTTTGATATACTGCTTTTCTTTTCAACTTATTATTTATTTATTTATTTTATTTTTCTTTGAGACGGAGTCTCTGCCGCCCAGTCTGAAGTGCAGTGGCTTGATCTCAGCTCACTGAAGCCTCCGCCTCTTGGGTTCAAGCGATTCTCCTGCCTCAGCCTCCTGAGCAGCTGAGATTACAGGCACATGCCACCACGTCTGGCTCATTTTTGTATTTTTAGTAGAGATGGCGTTTCACCATGTTGGCCAGGCTGATCTTGAACTCCTGACCTCGTGATCTGCCCGCCTTGGCCTCCCAAAGTGCTGGTATTACAGATGTGAGCCACCGCTCCCTTCCATCATTATTTTTTATTGAAACAGTCTCACTCTGTCATCCAGGCTGGAGTGCAGTGGCGCGATCTTGGCTCACTGCACCTCTGCCTCCTGGGTTCGAGTGATTCTCCTGCCTCAGCCTCCCGAGTAGGTGGCTGACACCCGGCTGTTTTGTATTTTTAGTAGAGACGGGTTTTTGCCATGTTGGCCAGGCTAGTCTCGAACTCCTGACCTCAATTGGTCCGCCCACCTCAACTTCCCAAAGTGCTGGGATTACAGACGTGAGCCCCCGCAC